GATGACAGAAGGATTTTTACTAAGAATTATTTCATATAGCATTTAAATATATCTATATTTAAAAGCACACATTGAAGTGAATCATAGAACTGGGCATTGAGTTAGTAAACTATTTGAGTTCTTCAGGAAACCATTTTAAGTTTAAGGTTTAGGAGGCTAGAGATATAGGTCAGTGGTAGAGTGCTTGCCTACCAGGCATAAAGCCTGTAAAAAATGTGTGTGTATGTGTGTACATAGTTGCAATATAAAGTCAGTTATCAGTATATGCCAGGTGTGGTGGCTCATTATAACAGTAATTCTAACTACTCAGGAGGCTGAGACAGGAGGATTACAAGTTCAAGACCAGCCTGGGCAAGTGAGACCTTGTCCCAGAATTTAAAACATCTAAAGATCTAGGAATGTACCTAAGTGATAAAGTAATTGCATGGCAAACGTGAAGCTCTTGTGTTCAACCTCTAGTACCATGCACAAAATAAGTAAAGTAGAAAAAAACACCTGCAACTGAAATGTGAAGTATGAAATCACTTTGTTATGGAATTGCTTAAAATATATTCTTATTTTCGATTGATAGACACCAAACAAAATAAATATGAGTAATTGCGGTACATAAGTTTATCTCCTAGAAAGAAAATTCACTTTACTTTTTTTTTTTGGTACTGGGGATTGATCTCGGGTCCTTGCGCTTGCACAGCAGGCGAAGGAACAACTGAGCTAAATCCCTGGCCCTCACTTTACTTTTAAATGTTACTTAAAAATTATTTCTGCTGTATAAGTTCTGTTCCGTGTTTTTTTGTTTGTTTTGTTTTGTTTTTGAGACGAGGTGTCACTATGTATTTCAGGCTGGCCTTAAATTCTCTACATAGCCCAGGCTGGCCTTGAACATGCAGCAATCCTCCTGACTCAGCCTCCCAAGTCCTGGGATCGCAGGTGTGCACCCCTACACCAGGCTAAATTCTGTTCCTTCTAAACAGCTTTGCAGCCTTAAAATGATTTAAATATTTATTCACATATAATTTCTATATTATTTTAGTATCAAGAAGAATTAAATGTATAGGTAACTATATTCTTTTTTCTATTTACCTCTAGCAAATACAGAGGAAGTTCAGATATCACAAGGAAATATCGATCAAGTTGCTGTTGTGGCCACCAATGTTCTTTTTTTTGTGGTTCTGTTTATTTTTGCCCTTTTTGAAACGTAAGTTTTATTCTGTCTTCATGTAAATCAGATTATATATTAAGTTTATCATTTAATGCAGTGCTAGTTAGGCTTATACATGCTATAAGAAACTTTAAGACATTTTTCTTATCACAATGTGAAAAGTTTATATATTGTTACTTAACTTAAGCTATATAACTCCCAGCTTATGTATACATTATTTATTTTGGCAATTTTAACTCTAATCCTTGAACTTAAAAACAAAGAACTAGTATATTACAAAATCTCCTGTATCGGGCTTCATTGACTTCTATTTATCATAGGCCCTTTTATTTTAAAAATACCTATTATAAAAATAGTGCATTCTCATAAAATTCCAAATATTGGACTGGGGATGTAGCTCACTGGCACCGTGCCTGCCTCACAAGTGCAAGCTCCTGAGTTCGATCCTCGGTATCAAAAAAAGAAAAATTCCAAATATTACAACTGCGCTTCCACATCTGCTGCTTTCTGTGGTAGTAACCACTGTAATACTTTAGTTTGTGTTTTCAAACATTTTATTCTATGCACCTCCATGAAAGAATATTTGCTAAACTCACAGACTATATGATGTTATCATTTGACAGCTGGCTTATTCACTTATCAGTATATTGTGACATTTTTATGTCAGTACATGTAGAGTTTGCTTGATATATTTACTTTGAAAATTATTGAGATAAATGAACGTTTTAGCTCATCTTATTTGGGAGGGGCATCTGCTGTTGTAATTTTTTTTTTTTTTTTCAGGACTGGGGATTGATGAGGGTTTCACACTGAGCTACAGTCCTAGACCTTTTTCATTTTTTGAGACAGGCTCTTGCTCAGTTGCCAAATTCCCCAGGCTGGGCTCAAACTTGAAATCTTCCTGCCTCAGCCTCTCAGCATACTGGAATTACAGGCATGTGCCACCATGCTTCATTTCTTTTAACTTTTTAAAGAGTATATCTCAGTGGCATTAAGTGCAGGCACAGCGTTGTGCAACCATAACCACTGTCCATTTCCAGAAATTTTCATCATCCCAAACAATAAATCTAAACCACTACAGATTTGCTTCCCATTCACCTTCCACTCTGACCCCAGTAACTTCTGTTCCATCTTCTGTCATCCAAATTTGCCAGTTTTAGGTACTTTCTGTAAATTGCATCCTACAATATTTTCCTTTTGTGTTCATCTTATTTCACTTAACATATTTTTAAGGTTCACCATGCTGTAGCACGTAGCAGACTTTTCTGACTTTATTTGAAATAATAGTCCATTGTAGGTGTTTTACTTTATTTGTCCATTCATCCATTGGCAAGCACTTTGTTTCACCTTTTGGCTATTTTGAATAATGTTGCTGTGAGCATTATTGTACAAGTATCTGAAGCTTGGCTCTCCATTCTTTTGGACATAAACCTAGAAATAGAAGTGCTAGATCACATACTAATTGTATATTTAACTTTTTGAGAGACTACCTATGTGTTTTCTGTACCAGCTTATCTGATGTTAAAGTATAAAATACTATTCTTTTTTTCAAAAAATATTTTAAGTATAAAACTCCATTTTGTAGGCAGTTAACAGGAGTTAGAACATAGGAAAAGGAGCTTGGCAAGGAAGGAAACAATGGTATAAAGGACTAGAGACATTCAGAGGTAGGGAGAAAAGTATGTGTGATCAAGAACTCAGGAATGTAAGAGACTTTTGGGGAAGAAAAAATTGAGTAGGTTCTAATCACTTATTAACAGTAACATTGCATAGGAAAGAGACCAGCTTATTTACTTATGAGTTGTGAAGTTTATTACTTTAGGTTTTTCCTTAGTACATATTTGTAGTAGATAATGATTACATTCATCATGCACACTTGGTGCAGGTACATACCACATCTATTCTTTTTTCATCTCCTCCCCTCCCTTTTTTTATTATTTACTTTTTAGCAATATAATTTGTTTATTCCTTATTTTATAAAAGGCACTAGATAAGATTTTGTTTTATTTTTTGAGGTAGAGTCTCCAGGGTGGCCTTGAATTTATGATCCTTCAGCATCAGCCTCCTGAGTACTGTAATTACAGGCCCGTACCACCATGCACAGCTAAGTTTGCATATTTAAGTAAGATAATAGACGTTATGGAACAGTTCTGGACAGCCAGTAGCAGGTATGCTGCTGTGATAAGGAGAAAACAAAAGCAACCAGAAAAATGGGCTTTCAAGCTGGGCATGGTAGCACTAGCAGTACTCTCGGAGGCTGGGGCAGGAGGATGGAAAATTTGAGCCCAGCCTGGGCAATTTAGTGACTTAGCAATACCCTGTCTCAAAATAAAAAATAATAAAATAGCTCCATGTGAAGGCCCTGGAGGAAGAAAAAATAATGAAAAGGAGGACTTTCATCAGAACTGCAACCATTTTCTGATTTTGAAAACTATGACGACTTTAAATATTCCTTGTGCAGACAGACACTGTTTAAAGGGAAGCACTGGTGACCATGTAGTCAGTCATAGCTCCCCAAAAGGAAGGCAGTACTGGCAGCCCAATCCCCAGAAGTTCACAGCACTACTACTGTAAGAGATTCATCCATTCATTCATTCCTTTTTTTTTTTTCTTTTGAGACAGGGTCTCTTTATGTAGTTGAGACTGGCCTTGAACTTTCAGCAAGCCTCCTGCCTCAGCTGTGCTCAGATCCCAGGTGTGTGTCACCACACCCGACTGTGAAAAGAGATTAATTTAAACCAAAGTATCACCATGCTTATTTAGTTATATTACAGTGGCAGGAGTTACGACTGGTTTTGCTTGTTTTCTTTTCCTATTTTTCAGACTTTTTGCAGTGTAGCTATCTTACTTATATAAATACAAACAGTCAAGATTAGGAATGTAGCAACAAAATGTGCTCAAACTTTTGCTTATGTCGGCCTGAGGTCACTGTTAAAGGGATGCAAATTCTTGAATGTGTATGTGTCATTAAAGCTTATCCTTCACTTTATTACTGTGATTAAAATAATTTGTTTTTGTTTTTGTTTCTTAGAATCCTTACTCCGTTAACAATGGATATGTATGCTTGGACCCAAGAACAAGCTGTGTTATACAATGGAATCATACTTGCTGCTCTTGGAGTCGAGGCAGTTATTGTTTTCACGGGGGTTAAATTTCTTTCCAGAATGTAGGTTCTATGCTTTTACTTTTGTACATTTTTTTGTATTGGGGACCGAACTCGGGTCCTTGCGCTTGCGTAGCAGGCAGTGAAACCACTGAGCTAAATCCCCGGCCCAGCTTTTAGTTTTGTTTCAGATCTCTTTCTCTGTCTCTCTATTTTGGTTTTTTTTTTTTTTTTTTTTTGGTAGTACTGGATATTGAACTCAGGGCCTCATTCTGAGCTACATATCCCCTTTTAATTTATTTTTAAATTTTGAAACAGGGTTTCTGTAAATTGCCCAGGCTGGCCATGAATTTATGATCATCCTGCGTCAGCCTCCCAAGTAGCTGGGATTATAGCTGTCCATCACCAGCTGGCTTTATTTCAAATCTATTAAAAATAGTGAAACAATATAAATGAATGTGCTAGTGAACTACCATAAAACTTTTCTCTCATTATGTATAGCTTCTAGTTCTTGAAAGTTTGCAAACATTTAAAATTTATTAAGACTGTAATATTTGTATACTCTATTCAGTGAGTAAATTTGGAAAATCTGGTTAAGATAACTAAATTTGTTTTATAATTTCTAAGTTTTCAGTATGTCAACACCACCTTGTCACCACAGCAAATATTATTTGTAACATTTCTCATTTATTTAGCCACATAACATTTTTTCAAGAGAATTATTTTATTTTATTTTATTTATTATTTTTTGGTACCTGGGATCTAACTTGGGACCATGCGCTTGTGAGGCAGGCGGCAGAACTACTGAGCTAAATCCCCAACCTAAAGAGAGAATTATTTTATAAAAGTGTATATAAGAAACACTTCTGGAAAATGCTTGTATAACAGTCAGTTTAGTCATGTGGGATGTTGATGATGCTAGGCAAGTCTGATGACATAAGTATTCTTAGGTATTTGTTAAATCAGCCCTCTCCTCTTCCCTCTCCTCCCTCCTCCACCCTCTCCCTCCTCCCCTCCCCTCCCCTTCTCCTCCCTTACAAGTTGAAATCAAGATGTCTGCAGTTTTCTACATCATAGTTTCCCAGTTTGGATCTTGCTGATCCCATCACTGTAGTGTTTAGCATATTCCTCTATCTACTATGTTCCTTGAAAACTGATAGCTGTATCTAGAATTAGCTTAATGAGATTTGAGTTGTTTTTTGCAAGAATGTAGGTAGTGTTATGTCCTTATATCAGAACAATGTTTTATTTATCCATTAATTGTAGATCCATTAATTGATCCTTGCCAAATGGTGATAGTTAAGCCTCTCCAATCTGCAGGTACCACATGCATGCATTCATGCAATTTTAAATAAAAAATATTCTGGATAAAAGTGTCTATACTAAACATGGACTTCTTTTTCTTGTCATTATTTCCTAAACAATATGGGATAGCAGTGTTTACATTTTGTTATTGTAAGCTAGATGTGTACAGAGGAAGAGGTACAATGATTATATGCAAGTACCGTGTAATTTTGTATAAGAGATTTGAGTATTTTAGGATTTTGATGTCCTCAGGGACGTCCTGTAATCAGTCCCATTCAGATAACAAGTGACAACTGTATTTTATCATTAAAACCTTTGTTATAATACTTTCTATAAAGAAAATCTTCACCACTGTTCAGTTAACCTGAGGTATAGTGTGTGTGTGGAAGGGTGGATAAATACTTATTCTTTCCTTTAATAACTGAATTTTAAAATAATGAGTTGGTTCCCTAACACCCTGTGTGTTTCAGTCTACTGCCATTATTATTATTTCAGCATCACACTGTTGCGTTTTTGGTCTTCTTCAAACTGGCCCTGCACCCTTTTCTGGTGAGGTGATCATCCCTGATAGTGTCAGTGCTTGCTGCTCTGAAAAGATTCCTCACTTCATCTTCTGGTTCTTCTGTCCCAGACCTGAAATCAGACATCTTCCAGAGCAGCCTTGTTGTAAATCATATTTAGCTCATATTAATTGATATGTATCACTAAAATTATTAAAATTGTACAGTTTTTTTGAAGTCGAGAAGTAATGGAACTGTGTTACGATGTTTCATTTTAAAATCACAGAGTCTCTGTTCCCTAACAGGATTGGTGAGCGTGCTGTTCTGCTGGGAGGCTTCCTTGTTATATGGGCTGGCTTCTTTATCTTGCTACCTTGGGGAAATCAGTTTCCCAATATACAGTGGAAAGGTACAGACATACATAATTCTGTAACATTTCCTGACTATCTAAAATTAGTAAGTCATGCACTGTACTCATTTTGTTTTTACAGATTTACATAATAATTCAATCCCTAATACCACATTTGGGGAAATCATTATTGGTCTTTGGAAGTCATCAAGAGAAGATCACAATGAACTACCAACTGGTTGCCCAATCGAGCAAGCCTGGTGCCTCTACACCCCAGTGATCCACATGGCACAGTTCTTCACATCAGCTGTGTTCATTGGAATGGGCTATCCAGCCTGTAATGTTATGTCCTATACTCTCTATTCAAAACTTCTGGGACCAAAACCTCAGGTAAGCCAGCTACCCTGACATTAACAGTTCTATGAAATATATCTTTAGCACCCTTTGTTTATTTTTTTAATACATGTCACTATGCAAGCTGAGGTTGGCCTCAAACTCACAATAATCCTCCTCCCTCAGCCTCCTAAGTGCTAGCTAGTACTACAGGTATGCATCACCACGCCCAGCTGTAGCATTCTTAAAAAGTTAAATTAATAACTTTACATTTTCAGAGCAGAAATTAGTGTTCCTCTGTTGAAATAAAGAGAAAAAATTTAATGCCTGTGTTTTCAAGCTATAAAGAGTAAGCATTTTGGTAACAATTTCTGGATTTGGTTTGGGTTTGATTTTTGTTTGGTGCTAGGGATAGAACCTAAGGCCTATGCACATTATGCACATGCTCTGCCATTGAGCTGTATACCAAGCTCTGTGTTTGATTTTCACTTTGAAGATTATATTTTTAATTTTTCAAAATTAAAAATAAAAGAATTAGTGGGTATAGTAGCACACCTCTACTCCCATGTACTAGGGAAGCTAAGGCAGGAAGATCACTTGAAGAGACCTTGTCTCAAAAAAGAATAAAATAATATTAACTATAAAAGCAATTCTGATGACTACAACAAAAGTCAAATAACTTAGAAATGTGTATAACAAAAGCTTCACTGCACCCAAGTCATTTTTATGCTTATTCAAACGTAGCCACATTTACATTTCAGAAAAATAAAACATTAAATTGCTTGTACATCTAATTGTTTCTGCATATTTTCAATTAATATAACTTCCTTCCATGTGTATATCTATGCTATTCTCAGATCTTACCCTTATTATTTTTTCTTTCAGTTTTTAAAAAAATTTTATTTTATTGGTACATTTTAGGTATACAATATAATGACATTCATCACTGGAAATTTGTACCTTTACATAATCTCTCTTGGTTCTTATTTTTTCCCCCGTTCCCCTTCCTTCCCTTCAACCCCTCCATCCCTCCCTATTTACAAAGACTTTGTATCCATTTTTTCATTTTCTCATATTAATTCCATTCCTTTCTTTCCTTTCCCCTACCCCTCCCACTTCCCCTTCCCTTTTGCCCCTATTCTTCTTATTCACATTATCTATTATACCTTTTAGTCTTTATTGACACTTTCAGTTTCTCACACTAGAGAAACTATTAGTATTTACACGTGTCCTATTTATTTCACTTAAGAGCATTGCCTCAATGTGCATCCATTTAGCTACAAATATCTCTAATTTCTCATTTTTTGTGACTGAGTAGTGCTCCATTTTATTTTTTAAAAACCACATTTTCTTTATCCAGTCACCAGTTGATGGGCATTTGGGCTGTTTCCAACTTTTAGCTATTTCAAACTGTGCTGCCATGAACATGGGTGCACATATATCACTGTGGTATGATTCTTTTAATCCTTTGGGGAAGATACCC